AGCTAGCCCCTTTTTATTCTAAGACACGTCTCTAGTTCGAGGAAATAATCCGTCTTGTGACTCAGTTTTCCCCAAAGCCAGAACCCTAAATGGCACTTTTTCTTCCACAAAGAGGCAAAACCCGGATCTTCCGTCCGCAGAGCAACCTTTGCTTTGATTGACAGGCTGCCTGACCAATCTGCGCACGGGGGATGTACGAGGGGCGGGGTTGAGCGGTCCGTGGACACGCGTGCGTACTGCGCTTGGTCCCCCGCAATGGGAGTCCTGCGAACTTTGCGTTCTGTCTCTGTGGTCTGGCGGCCGGGGCTGGGGTCTTGCGCACCGCAGAGGAATGCAGGCTTCGGCACCGAGGCCCGGTGATTATAACACTCCACTTCCGTGTAGGGGAGAGACTAGAACAAGGGGAGGGCAGGCACGAAATTCAGGTCAGGACATGGTTCTAAGCCTGACTGTGTTGTGTGACCTGGCACTACATCCTTGGCGCTCTGAGCCTTTGCTGCCTCTTCTGTTAAGTCTTGGGGACAGGTGGACATCAACTGTCTGCTGAGCCCGAGAGTTTTGATGCTTTTGTAAGAAGAGGCTGAACTAGGCAGAGTGGGCGAGGGAGGTACCAGTTTCTACCATATTTCTCAGGCGTCGGCCTCAACCTCATCGCTCCAGCAAACGCAAGGACCTAGTCGAGGACCAGCCCTTCCCGGGGCTGCTGCGAACAGAGAACCTCGGCCTGGAGGAGCTGGCTCACGTCCTGAGGGCAGCTGTGGTGGATCAGAAAGGTGAGGAGAGCCTGCTGCTCCTGTACCTCCAATTCCCCTGTAGCTGCAAGAGCCAGGCTAGCAGTCAGTCACATTCCTTCTCCTAGTCTCACCATCATGAGAAGTGTAGATCTCCACTCCTCCCTGTGTTCGAGAGCAGCTGTAACAGAAGTTAGTTTACTATCAGAAAAAAACCTTTGTGGTTGGCTATAGCCGGGCTCTGTAAGTGGCATGATCTTGGTCTCATAAAAGAGGGCTAGATGGTTGCTCTTGCAGAGAGGACCAGCATTCTGCCCCCACATGGTGCTTTACAACTGTATGTTCATGTAGCAGTGAGGGGGCTTCACAATACTGGGATAAATATGGCCCCTGCCTTGCGAGATCCAGCGTCCTGATGTGAGAAATACTGAAAAATCACTGCTGACTCAGAATGTGGTGACCACACTTGTAATTCCAGAACTTGGGAGGTAGAGGCAAGGAGGATCAGGAGTTCAGGATCAGACTTAGTTGTATAGTGAGTTTGGGACCAGCTTGATGTTTGAGCCACCCTCCACCCGCAACAGTCAGGGACTGGAGGAGGGGCACAGGTTATACTGAGGTATGTCGGAGCCAATGGGAATGGAAGCCTAGAACAGCAGGTGTGAAGGCTCTGAGGTGCACGGATTAGGAAGTGCAGTTTAAAGTGGGATTGGGAGTTTATAACCCCCGAGGCTTCTCTGCTTTAGCTGACATCTATGAACTGTTTCAGGACCTCTGGTGACACTGAACAAGCCACAGGGTCTGCCTGTGACAGGTATGAGCATGGGCAGAGAGGGACAGGCTGGGGCAGGGATGATCGGATAGTGCTCTGGAAACTTGTCCTCTCCCTCTCAGGGAGACCAGGAGAGCTGACGTTGCTGTCTGTGCTGCCACAGCTGAGCCAGGCCCTGGGGATCGAACACCAGGAGCTCCAGGTTGTGCGAGCACCTGGGAAGTAAGTGACAGTGTGAGGTTTATTTGTCACCCACTGTATACAAAGTCTTATTCAAGTGCCTGGTACATGGTAGACCCTTGGACATTAGTGCTAACTCTTACGGCATTTGGCTCTTTCTCTGAGGACCAGAGAAAAGGTCTTATGACTTGTTTCTCAGGTCTGGACTCTAGTCCTGGTGTTACTGTCCAGTCTTTAGTTGGAGTTCCTTTAGTGGTTGGGGGTGGGGGGAGGTCTCCTTTAAAAATAAAAGATTTGTTTTTAATGTGTATAGAGTGTTTAGCTTGCATGTATGTCTGCACCACAGTGCTTGTCTGGTGCCCTCAGGGACCAGAAGAATTGCAGACAGTTGTGAACCACCATGTGGTTGCAGAATGCTGGTCCCCTGCAACAGCAGCCATCTAGACCTCTTTTTTGAGACCAAGAGGCTTTATGTGATTTGTCCCCTTCTTCCAGGGAGGCCTCTGGGCTTGTGCTGCTCTCCAGCTGTCCCCAGACAACAAGCCGCCTGCAGAAGTTTTTTACCCACTCAAGGAGAGCCCAGAGTCCCACAGCCACCTACTGGTGAGAGGTGCAGGGTCACTCCCGGGGCGAGGGAAGGTCCTATCTGGCTGCTCTGAGACCTCCTTTCTCTTTCTTAGTGCCATCACTGATGGCATCCCTGAGCCTTCTGAGGGGACAGTCCACATGGTTCTGAAGCTGGAACGAATGGATGGCATTGATCTTGTAAGTCAGAGACCACCAGGGAAGAGGTGTCCCTTCCGGTTTTGCCTTACAGAGGAGTCTAGGCTGTGCACGTGCGGTGGCTAGTTCCGCTGCTGTCTCCTAACAGGCAAATGGCTGCTGCCGTTGCTGAGGCCCTGTCCCGAGTCAACTGGCAGCAAGGATGGCTAGGTATGTGATAAGTCATTCTTGACTGGCACCCTAGGCAGTCCCAGTGACGTCCCCATCTCGAAAGGACATCCAGAAAGGTGCCAAAAGGACCCTTAGTCGTTTCCGTGTGATGGCCACGGGCTGTGGCTGTGCCCTGGTCCAGCTGCAGCCACTGACAGGTGGGTCTGAACAGTGCTCTGTGGGGGGTGGGGGAGAATATGAGCCCCCTGAGGAAGACACTGCTTGATGACAGCAGGGAGCATCTGGTGGACCCCAAGGGTATTCGAGTGGGCTCAGCAGGAGGCAGCAGTTTTAGGTGCACACCCACAGTCTGCCACCTGGCACATATCCTTATTCCTAGAGGCTTTAGTTCTGTAATGTTGGACCCCCAGGCTGGGTGGGTTGCCAGCTGCCATTGTTACCTTCTCATGATCTTCTCTGGAGGCAGAGGTCATCTCAGATCCATCCGATCTAGGGATGGGGGCAGTACTGCACAGCCAGGAAGGGCAACTGCCTCCCAACCCCCACCTTTCAGTCTTCCCCAAGCAGCTGCAGGTGCACATGGTTCTACAGCTCTGCCCTATTCTTGGGGACCACACCTATGCTGCTCGTGTAGGCACCGTTCTGGGCCAGCGTTTTCTGTGGCCAGCGGAGACCACCAAGCCCCAGAGTCAGGTAGGTCCCCTGGCCCGTATGCCTGCTCTTTGTGGGTTTCGGGGACTGTGTCTCCAGATACCATGCACATTTGGACTACGAGGCAGATGGCTTGGTCTCTGGGGCTGCCTGTGTCCCTGTGATTGCGGTGTGGTTCAGGCCTCCCTCTATCCATGAGCTGGAGAAGGTGGAGGCTGACCTCACAGGTCCTCAGGTTCCACCATCCTTTTGAGCATTTGTGTATCATTTCTTCCTCGTGTTGAGTCCAGTGAATGGGAGTGCAGCAGGAGCGGGCCTGGTTCTAGGCAGCCACTTAGGACCAATATTACTTTCTGGCCAGAAGGGGAGACTGGAGGTTTGTATGAATTGGGGCTTTGAGGGCCCGGTCTATGCACCACCTCTTGAGTCCCATTGGCCAGAGGCTTAATCACGTGGCTTCACTAAACACAAAAGAAGAGAAAATCACCACAGTTACAGACCAGGGAGGTCCTGCAGGTGTCCCTCTGTGTTCATGAGAGCTGGGTGCTCCTCTGGCTAGAACTTAGATGGTCGCTGTCTTTCCCATCCCAGGTCCTGGATGAAGCTCTGCTCAGACACCTCTACCTGAGACCTTCCCAAGTGACCCAGATGCCCTTGCACCTGCACCTGCACCGCCTCCTCCTCCCAGGCACCACATCAAAGGACCCCCCTAGTGAACTTCTGGCACCCCTGCCCGCTTACTTCTCTCGGACCCTGCAGTGCCTTCGACTCTCAACAGTTGACTGTGCCTGACCCCCAGTTGGAAAGACAGGAAGAATACAGAGAGTGAGTTTGGTGCTGAGCACAGCCAAGGCCCTGGGCTCCTCGGTCCGACATACTAAGATCAAATCCTAGACAGGCTACTTGATTGCTGTGTGGCATTGGGCAGGTGTCTTCTCTCTGGACTTAAAATAATAAAAGTTCTACCTCACGGTCTGGTTTACCAAAAATGAGAAAGCGAATGTTTACCAGGGACTGTGCTCTCTGCTCAAGTGAACAGTGGTCAGGTCAGGAGGTGGCATCTGCTGTACTCCTGGCCAGGAGGAGGTTGGTTTGGTTTTGAGACTGGGTCTCTCCATGTATCCCTGGCTGGACTGGAGCTCAGAGCTTTGCCTGCCTCTGCCTCCCGAGTGCTGGGATGGCAGGCATGCACTACTGCACAGGAATGAGCTGTTCTGACTTTGAAGGACGTAGCTCATTCAATTTCAGCACCCCTCTCCACCCACAACACGGTCACAGGCTACAGGTAGACACTGTTTTGGTGGACCAGCCAACCCTCCACAGGTAGGAAATGCCATGCTGCACTTGGGTGTGCTTCTTAGGTCTTCCAGTTTTAGGTGACTTGACTACCCCTTCACGGAGGGAAGAAAAAGTACCCTCTAGACAAGAGCTGAGGTTTAGGGAAAGCCTATCATTTGTCCTAATGTTCTATGCTCACCAGAAGCTATTCTGCCAGCCCAGCTTGTCCTTGAGAGGAGGGGACCCTTGATGGCTGGCCTTCCACATACTACCATTTGCAAGCCATGTGTCCTTGCTCAGACTCAGTCTCCTCATCTGTATAGTGTAGGCTCCCCCCTCAACCCCCCCCCCCACACACCCTAAGACTTCCTGCAGAGAAAGCTAATACCCATCACTAGGGAATTGTGGGCCTTTCCGATGGAGGCTCTGACGATCAGCTCTTGTTTGAGCCTTGCCTCAATTATCCAAGCCAAGCCCAGAGAACTTTACTTGTATTTTTTTTTTTTTTAATTTGATGCTGGATCCGGAATAGGGCGGTGAAGATCAGAGCAGGGGCTTCTCTAGCTTCTTAGCCCCTATGGGCCCCAGGCCTCGGGACACCAAAATAAGGGTGAAGGGATTGGGGAGGCTCAGCCTCTTCCTGGGGTATGCCTCAGCCCTGGGTGTGTTGCCGAGTCTGGCCTTGAACTTGCCTTTGGCCTTGACTTTCCTGTGGGTGCTAGGAAGAAGTCCGGCTTCAAAGGGCAGAGGCCACAAGGCACTTCCAAAGTGGGGGCCTCGAAGGTGCAGGGGGTTAGCAGCCTCGGTGCAAAGGAGGGGAGGAAGAGAGAGATGATCAGGCCTCTGTCTTGAAACAGGGTTCTGTGGAAGACAAGCCCTTCCCTGGTGCACTGCTTGGTCTGGGCGCTGCCCTCTGCCTGTGCCCTTCTTCCCCGTTCCCACTGCTCAGTACTACCCGCCAGGGTGTGCAGCGCAGCTCGAAGCCCACCTTTCCTGGCTTCAGCATGCTAGATGCCAGCTCGAGATCGGGGTGAGGTGGGAAGGACATCAGAACCTTGGCAGTAGGTAGAGTCATCAAGGCCTTGCCTGTGGTTGACAGAGCCTTAGAGCCCACCAGCTGGCCATGCTGGAGTCTGAGGACCCAGCTCTGGGGTCGGTGCACACGGGGAGAAGGCAGCCAGGCCTTGTCATGGAGGCTAGGGAAGTGGAAAGGGGCTGTGGGGGAAGGGAAGCTGTGAGGGCCGGGCTAGGCCTCAGCCTGACCAGCTGTCCCATAGGGTATATGCAGAGGTGGGGGATGGGAGGTGTGGGCAGATGGAGCCCCTCCCAGCTCCTCCTCCAGAGGCAGTGGGAAGAACACAGGGTTGGGGGTCCAACAGACCTGGGTCTGCATCCCAGCTCTGCCCCTTCTGAGCTGTGCAACCTCGGGCAACGTCCTTAAACTTCCTGCTACCTCGGCTGGAAAATGGGGACAATAGCAGCTACCTTACTAGGGTGTTGTGAGGGCTAAGGGGGCACAGGAAGGGCATAGTGGCAGTGCCTTGCTCCAGAGAAGAGGGAGGGCAAAGCTGGCTAAGACAGCACCAGAGGTCTGGACTCCCAGGACGCGCGCTCCAGGACCATGCCCTGGCATCGTCTGGTCTAACTGCCTGGCAGGGTGACTACTTTGGAATACTCATTTGGTTGTATATTTAAAAACACTTGGTAAGCAGTCTTGTACTTGCTATCATTCACGGCCTTCTGGCAGGAGGGTAAGCCCAGACACTTGGGAAGGGCTTGGAGAGCAGGCAGCAATGGCCTTAGGAGGATGGGGGCATTCAGGGAATGTGGTATTACCCCAGGCCTCAGGCTTTTTCATACCCCATGACCTGTTGAAAATATGGCCCACCCTGATGTTAGGGGGCTCCCACTTCTGGAGGGTGAGGCAGACCAGGGCTGTGGCACTTTTTGCCTTGCCTTTCTTCCCCTTTCCGGGGACTGAGGTGGTGGCAGTAGTTTCTGGCTTCTCAGCGGCGTGTCCCAGACTCTCAGCCCTAGCATTTTTCCTAGAAGCTGACCTCTGAGTAGGGGAGCCTGAGTCCTTGCTTTCCCCAGAGCCTTGCTGTGTCATCAGATGAGGGAGTGAGGAGCGGACCCCTGTCCGCCGATGACCCACGGGCACGGGCTTCTTGATGGTAGAGCCCTCCACCACGAGCCGGATACCCACGTACTGGGGCACCTCCACAGCAGGCTGTGGACAGGAGAGAAAAAGGCTGTCTCAGACACTAGTGCTGGAAATCAGGACCTAAGACAGAGACAGATGGAACCAATTTCTGGGGTGTCTGGTCAAGAGGCACATCTGAGAAACAAGAAGCTCCTTCCATCCTCAAGGGATTTAGAGGACCTACAGTCACAGAGCCCTAGGGGAGCAAGAAAAGCAGAGAACCAGAGCTATGCAGATAAGCACTCAACCCCACTGTCCACCAAGGCGACCTCTGGCCTGGGTTAGAATGTGAGCAGTTTCAGGCCGTGGGCAGCCAGGGATGGACAGAACTGAGCCATGGCTTCCTATGTGGAGATGAACTTCCCATTGTGAATACCAAGAAGAGGGGGATAACAAGGCCTCAAAGGCCACAGTAGCTTTCTAAGAACAGGGAATGTTACAGACCATAGTGAGCTGCCAGACACGGGTGCTGAGACCTGAACTTGGGTCCTCTTTAAGAGCAGTCTTCTGTTTTCAACTGCTGAGCCAGCTCTCTAACACGTCTTACTTCATAACTTAAGCTGTCTATGGCAGTGGTTCTCGACCTTCCTAGTGCTGTGACCCTTTACAACAGTTCCTGATGGTGTGGTGACACCCAACCATCAAATTATGCCATTGCTATTTCATACCTGTAATTTTCCTACAGTGACGAATCATAACATAAATATCTCATATTCGGATTGGTCTTAGGAGACCCCTGAGAAAGGATCATTTGACTCCCAAAGGGGTCACAACCCAAAGGTTGAGAACCACTGGTCCATGGCATTATGTTGTTAGCAACAGAAAATGGGCAGTAATTCTGGGGCAGGGGACAGTGTTGAGATAAAGGTACTTGCTGAGTTTAATCCTCAAGACCCATGGGGTAGAAGGAGAGAACTGACTCTCACAAGTTGTCCTCTGACCTGCACATGTGTGTTGTGGCGTGTGCAACCACACACATAAACTCAAACACCAAAGTAATATAATAATAATAAAACAGGATGACAGTCACCTTAGCCCAAGGTCGAATTTGGCATCAAGCATTAGGAGTCTGCTGGTGTGCCTTGTGACAGACAGATGAGGTGCCCAGCATCACTTAAGTGGTTGTTTTTTTGCCAAAAATCTCTACCCTGAACCTCATCAAGTTGTTAACCTATTTTCTAGTTTACAGGATAGTCAAAAAACAGACTGAGCTGAACAGCACATGGAGACAATCAGATAAGACAGAATGTGGGACAGTGCTACAGGCTGGCCAGCCTGGCCTCCAAAGGATCAGGATGCCAAAAAGGAAACAGTTGAGCTGTCCTAGATCAAAGAAGATCAGAGAGACAAAGCCACCAGTGTGACCACTCTGGACACATACTGGTCTCAAAAACAGATCAGTAATAAAAGATATCTGGGGACAAAGGACATCTGAAAAATGCCTGGCTTAATCTTTCCAGGCATCCAGCCATTCAGTTGTTTGTTTGTTTATTCTGAAACAAGGCCTCATGTAGCCCAGGTTGGCCTCAAGCTAACTGTATAGTCAAAGATGACCTTAAACTCCTGATGCTCCTGCGGCAGCCTCCTAAATGCTGAGATTACAGGTATGTTGTTGTCCCCCCTTCCTCGGCCCTCTTCCATGATTATGCTGTTTGTTTGTTACAGGGTCTCACTGTAAACTCCTTGCTGAATTGACCTTGGTATGTAGACCAGGCTGGTTGTGAACGTGTGTATTACAGGTGTATAGGTATGCTGCTCATATTTCCTCCTTTACATTTTTTTAAGCTGGAGCTATAAGTCAATAGTACTTACTACACACGCCTAGCATGCAGGTCCCTGAATTCCATCCCTAACACCTAGGGATGACGTCCTTAACAAAAACTACACCCTGTTGCCAGAACGTTATTCTAAGACTGTGGTTCTCAACCTTTCTAATGCTTGATTACTGATTCTCATATTGTGGTGACACCCACAACCATAAATTTATTTTCACTGCTACTCCATAACTGTAATTTTGCTGTGGTTTGAATTGTAATGTAAATATCTAATATACGGGATGGTCTTAGGTGACACTTATAAAAAGGTCATTTGACTCTCAGAGGGGTAACAGCCCACAGGTTCAGACTCAGGTCATTGTGGTCAGTATTCTGCTTTCCTGTAGCAAACCTAGGCCTTCACACATCCTAGCTGGAAGACTCCTACTTAAAAATTGCTCTCAGAATTCGAAAACTCTTAAAAACATTCTTTTAAAGTTGTATTTGGCCAGGCAGTGGTGGCGCACGCCTTTAATCCCAGCACTTGGGAGGCAGAGGCAGGTGGATTTCTGAGTTCGAGGCCAGCCTGGTCTACAGAGTGAGTTCCAGGACACCCCAGGCTATAAAGAGAAACCCTGGCTCGAAAAACCAAAAAAAAAAAAAAAAAAAAAAATGTTGTATTTGTATGATTGTTGTTTTGAAATAGGGTCTCACTATATAAACCCCAGGCTAGCCTGGGACTCACCATATAACCTAAACTTCCCTTGAACTCACAGTGATCCCTTTTGCAGCCTCCTGAATACTAGGAGGAAGAAGGTTGAGTCCTATATGTCTAGCTGGGATGGCTAATTTACATCCCCATCTAGACTGGATGGGAAAGCCTAGGGTATTTACACGCCCCTGAGGAGTCTCTAGAACCCGCAGAGGGCTTTGGCCTAATGGATGACTCCTCACTGATGGATTCAGAGCTCTGGTAAACTGTGGGGAGACTGTGGCACTGTGGAGAGTGCACTTGGTTAGATCATTTATTTCCAAGCTGGGTGTCATAATTCTTTTGTGTGTGTGTGTGTGTGTGTGTGTGTGTGTGTGTGTGTGTGTGTTTTCGAGACAGGGTTTCTCTGTGTAGCCCGGGCTGTCCTGGAACTCACTCTGTAGACCAGGCTGGCCTCGAACTCAGAAATCCGCCTGCCTCTGCCTCCCAAGTGCTGGGATTAAAGGCGTGCACCACCACCGCCTGGCTGGGTGTCATGATTCTTACCTATAATCTTAGTACTTGGGAAGCTTGAAGCAGGAGAAATGGCATGAGTTTCAGGATAGCCTGGGCAACAGCATAAGTTCCTGGCCAGCCTAGGCTATCTAGAGTAAGCCCCGTCTCAAAAATACTTTTAAAAACCCAATAAAACAATGTTTTTGGCTGATTCTAAAAAAATCCTATAATTATAAATAAGCAAGATCAAATCTGTTTTTTGAAAAAGATGAATATAATAATTATTATAACCATAGTAAGACACTAGTAATCAACTCTTGATAGGCCTTGCAGTAGTTGATGGAGCTTCCATCAGCATTATTGGCAAGTACAGTTGTTAAAGCTGTCCTTTGTGCCCTCTGTCTAGGTACCCTAGCAAAGCCTTGGAGGCAGAGCAACCCACTCTGTTCTCAGCCAGTTGCATCTTATTTTACAGGAAATGAGTACAGGCTTGGAACTGCGGTAGGAGGCTGAGGACGTCCTTTGCAAATATCTATGAATATGAACTCATGCCATTAATGACCCTCAGGAGACAGCAACTTCCAGGTCATAGATGCATCAGGGCAGAGGGGAATGTCTGTTTTAAGACACTTGCTAGGGTCAGGATAGGAGCCCAGGTCTTGAACTGTCTCAGAGCAGACCCCAGGCCTGTGAGGCCGCAGACCCAGGCCTATGAGGCTGCCTGTGGGAAGTGCCGGAGCATCTTACCTGCTTATAGATGAGCTCAAAGGCTCCTGTGTCACAGCTGCGGTCCAGGCGCCGGTCGATGACCACACGCAGGGTATCTGCCTGCACACCAGCACAGAGGCGGGCAGTGACAGCAGTGGAAGGTGCCATGGTGGGGCTGGCATTGATTTCAATCAACCAGGGCTGGAAGTCTTCCCCAAACACAAAGTCTGCCCCATAGAGCTCAAAGCTGGCCTTCCGGCACTGCACGTTGTCTTGGGAGGTCTGCAGGGCGTGAATCACCGCAGCCTTCATGCCAGGCACAATGACGTTGGACCAGGCCTTTGGGGCATCTACCTCCTGCAAGTGGGCCTGAAACCTCTGGCTGGACCACATGTTATCCTGGGGCAGCATCGGGTGCCGGTGACAGGAAGCCTCCAAGTGTCTCTGGATGGAGTTGTTACACAGGTGCACAGAGCTGGAACGGGACAGAGAGTCAGGCTTAGCCCTGGAGACAAAGTCCTGGGGTCAGCCATTGTGGTGAGCTTAACTGAGGCGGGCATCTGCTGAGAGATCAATAGGACAGAATGTGTCCTGCCCAACTCCCACCCCATCTACCTAAGGCCGGGGCTAGTCAGCTCAGAACACTCAGGTGCTGCAGATGGGCCACAGTAGCATGTGCTTTGGGCCTACTCCCAGTTTACTCACTCTGTGTATGAGGGAGTAAATAGGGAGAGAATGACCCTGTGTCATGAAGGGGTGGTCAATCCCCAGCGTCATCAGTGAGTAGCTGGGAGAGCCTAGGCAAACCATTTAACCTGTTTACCCTCACATCTCTAAAATGACAACCCACCACTTCATTGTGTTTTAGAAATGACTGTGATACAACCAAGCAAAAACACTTACGGCATGTGAAGTGCTTAATGATAAACAGCTACACTATGCTGCTGTTCCAGTCTCCAGATGTGGAAACAGGCTGGCCTTTTTCTTTGAGATGGTGTCACTAGCCCAGGACAGATTCAAACTTACCAGGTAGCTGAGGATGGCAGTTTACACCTGATCATCCTGTCTCTACCGTCCAAGGGTTGGCATCAAAGGCAGATACTAACTGTACCTGGCTTGACTTTGGCCTGTCTTGGTCTCCCAAGTTCTGGGATTACAGTTAAGAGCTACCACAGCTGGCTTGTTTCATCTTGAGAGTGGGCTCTCACTATATAGCCCAGTCTGTCCTTAAACTCAAAATCCTGACTCAGCCTCCCAAGTGCTGGGATTACAGATGTGGACCACTGTGCCCTGCTAGAAACAAACTTAAGCAGTTTTTCACTTCTCCAGAGACACACAACTTGATGCGGCAGAGATGGAATTTGAACACAGGCGTCATCAAGGTTTCTTCTCATCCTACAAACAAACCACAAGCTGCCTTTCCTCTCTCAGGTTTGTCTTAGTCTGCTTTTACCTAGAGCTGTATTTTCTTTATAACATACATCACCTTCTATCCCAGTGCTTCTCAACCTATGGGTTGTGACCCCTTTTCACAGGGGTCACCTAAGACCATCAGAAAACACAGATGTCTACATTATAATTCATAACAGTAGCAAAATTAGTTATAAAGTAGCAACAAAAAATATAGTCAGGGGTCACCACAACATGAGGAGCTGTATTAAATGGTGGACGTATGAGGAACGTTGTGAATGACTCTTCTACCATATACCGTTTGGCAGAGTTACTCAGGCACATTGCTAAGATGTAAGCCCTTGAGATCTGGGATCTTGTTTTGTTCATTCCTGTATCCCAAAGGCACCCTGCAAGCTCCTGCAGGGTGAAAGAATAGTGTGTGTGTGTGTGTGTGTGTGTGTGTGTGTGTGTGTGTGTGTGTG